TAAGTAGTATGTCAGCAAAACAGTTGGGTTTCGGCGAATCACCTTGGCAGAATATTTGTAAAATTAAATTGCTGTCGTATTACGATGAGCTGCCGCTACGAGGTGTCTCATACTCGTAAGTAAAATTCACGCGAGACGAGGTATAAGAAGACCCAGCGGTAAACACGTCCCACGCTAAATCTTTTTTAAACCTTTTATTACACTTAACTGTGTTGCTGGGCAATTTTGCTTCTAAATGTCGAAATAATTGTGCATATTTTATCCCCGAAGTTGAGATTATCTCAATTTTTTGTCAAATACCATTTAGAAATTTTATTTCTACGAAACCGCTGCGTTGTAGCGAATCACCTTAATGCAATCCTTGAGAAATTTCCTCCTCTTGGAGAATGCCATTATTACACAATATTTGAGACATTTTCCTATCGGGGTAGTTTACTCATTAGAATAGTTAGATTAGCAAAAATAATTTCCTTTTGATATTGATAGTAATTAATAAGGCAATAGTGTAGGTCCTCTCTTTTTCAAATATATATCGTTTTTATGTGAGATTAAAGTCAGTCTTCGCAAGTAATGTTAGTACATTTAACCCTTTTATGACCGAACATTTTGATATTAAGCTTTTGTCGATGTTTTTCATAAATAAAAAGTATCTTTGTGTTTCTAAAACTTTTCTCTAAACTTTTAAACACAGTTATTTGGCGACGAACGTTCCTTTAGTTTTAAACATTAAACATTTAATTATACATGTCTCCAGGTAGCATGTACTAAGCGAGACACTAGACACTAAATAACCAAAGAGATAAAAAATGTAAGTGGGACTTACATGTGTGTCTAGTGGTCATGAAAGGGTTAAGAACTCTTTTCGGTTATTCGTATTATACTATGCGCAGTTTAGTTCGCATATGTAACGTCACGCGCTCAGTACGTTTGGTCTATGAGCGCTCGGAGACATATTTTTCGTTTCAACATTTTAATATTATAAGGCTCAAAGTCAGATTGCGATAATTTACACAGAAAACATAGCGATTATTTAGTAAAGGATCTATATTATCTTGATATATTATATACTGGGTGACTCATTTTAAATGATCCACGCAAATGTCTCCACAAATGTAAAAGATACGGAAAAACGTTTCAAATAACTTTAGTTCGAAACGTTTATGCGTAGGG